TCATTATATTGTAATTGATATTATTGTTGAGTTGAGATAAGAGTTTGGTTTTTTGACTTCAAAGGCATAAACCCTAATAATGCTATTCATATAAATCTTATTTGTAATTCAATTAAGCACTTAAATTAATGTTTTTTGTACACAAAATGTGAAGACATTGATTTGATAAAAATGACATTAGTTTATGAAATAATATTTTTCCTTTGGATTTGAGTTTTGATGGTAAACAATAAGAATGTTATCAATAGGCTATAGAATAACTTATTGTCAAGAAGTGCTTATTTTAATTGCCAGTAAATATCGATGTCAGAGACGATATATATAACTAAATCTGAGGGATTATTACACGGATTTACAATATATAAAAAGTATTGGCCCACAAATCTTGAGCCAAACTTGTAATACTTGGTTTGTGGCCAAAAAATTATTAACGGTTTATTATGAGCACAAATTAAAGAAAGTTATTAATAGCGGATATTTTCAATGCTATTTATTACTACAGCACTTGGTTTTTAATACATGAAAATAATTCAATACATCACTAAAGTGTGTGACACACGATATATACAGTACTAAACTCTATACTAACTCTTAACTTTAAAATTTTATTAAATCCCATTTGATAAAATGTTGTCAATACAAATAAATAATCATTGTCAAATCTTTAGACTGTTAGTTATATCGTTAGATTTGTTAGGTGTTATTACAAAGCATGATCAGTGACACGGTATTTTAGCATATACAAATCGTTATTATGTTCCTTATATTCTACTGTATCAACATTTATTTAAATGCCGTTTCTTTAGTTATATTTGTATATTATTGATAGTATGCGGAAAGTAAAGATGTTTGTATTTGTCTTATGGCTCAGTCGACTATTTGACTCTAGTCACATTTGTATAATTATTATTTTAAATTTAACTGAATTGAATTAAATGAATTTTAACGGCAATTGTCCATGGCAAAATACAAATATGAGTTTTTAAAAATTTGTCTATCTTGCAATTAAAATAATGATTATCTTAAATTAGCGTAGTAATTAGTTTTATTTGGATGTAATACTAAAACATTGAATTTTAAAATTGTATTACAAATGATAAAAATTTCATAATGGATGAGAAGTGAGACATTTTTAATTATTTATAATGTATTTTCAAATACATAGAAAGTGTAATTAATTTTGTGAACAATAGAGATTTCTGTAATGATTTGTGGGTTTGTTAATTATTAATGTGCGGTATATTTAATACAACATTGTTGATTTATAATTTCAATTAAAAATATTGAATTTTATAATTTTTTGTTTTTCTTATTAAAAATACAATTACTGTATAAAATACTGTTTGTTCAACGATTTTTCATTATAAAATAAAGTTCTTTATAAACTCAACAGATATTTAACTCTTAAAAAGAAAGCATAATTTATAACATGATTCTTTGTCGTAATAATATTTAACGTATTGATTGTAATATGTAACTTATATTAAAGTTGTTAATTATTTTATGTATGGTAATAATGTTAAACTTTAAATAAAGTAAAAGCAAAATTTTTACATCATACTTAACTAGTTAAATTTTATTTATTATAATATGATATAATTTTAATATTTAATATTGTAAGTTAACACAAAATATAAATATACAGTACATTTGTTATACAGTATCGATACATGGTAAAATTTTTATTATGATATTTATATTTTTTAAATTAATATTTCAATTATGCATATAACAAATTTTAATAATAAACCAAAGGCACAAGATAACTTAACACGATAAATACTAATTTTAATAGTTTAATACACTAATAATAGACTGCATTGGATGTATGATGTAATGTTACTCATAGTGATATAACATAGTAGTGTTTTTACTAATGATTATAAATTAAAATCAATTTATTTCTAATACAAATATTTGAAACGATAGCATATTTAACAATATTCTGGAGACACACATTCGCCCGAATAGGAGAGGATTGGGTTTTTCTGGCATTATTAGGCATTATTATGGCTCTCTTGAGCTTTATTATGGACTGTAAGACAACTCTATCGATATTTTATACGTAAAACAATTAGACATTTTTATAGATTGCATAAACATTTGCACAAAAACTCGCCTTTGGCTCTACGAGGACCTAACCGGCGATAATATAGCGTTCAAATACATAGCATGGACTTCATTACCCTTACTATTAATTTTATTTTCTTCCGGATTTGTTCACATCGTCTCACCGCAGGTCAGCTCGCATTTAATATCAGAGCATTTGTTTTCGGTTTACAATTGCATTCAATTTAACATATATTGCATTACACGAGTATTTGTAACATTATTTCCCTATAATTGTTCAAATAGGCGGTCGGATCAGGAATTCCTGAAATGAAAACTATATTAAGGGGTAAAGAATAAATCAAATAAGTTTTACATGCAATGAAATAAATGTGAATTATATTGTTTTGCAAACAGGAGTTGTTCTCAACGAATACCTCACTTTTCGCACATTAGTCGCTAAAATGATAGGTATTTGATAAACCGATTTATTTAATATAATTACTAAAGACTTTCAGAATATGTTTTTAAATGTATTTACTGGTTAGAGATTTACGTTGGGGACTTTGGGGCAAACGAATTACATAATAAGGGCAATTTTAACAAAGTTTTATTTTAAATTTAAATACATATTTATAAATTAATATGTGGCCCAAAGCATAAAAATTGCTAATTTACCTGAAACTCATGTAGTTTAAAACGTCTAAATTGTAAAATTTTGTTAGTAATAAGTCAAATACAATTATAAATGCATGTATGACATCATGTATTACATAATAGAAGGATAGTATATCATCGGATTAACTCCACTTTACTTGGAAATAATTGATATATCTCACATTTATATTTTGACCTTTAACCTACAACCTTTAAGTAAGTTTTGAAAGGCTACCGAACATTTGTATCATACTTTTTGTATTATACATAGAATACATCAATCAATGATTATATTAAATATTAAATTTTTAAAATAAACATTTAAGCAAATATTTGGCCAATGTTAATAAATATTATATAACATATTTGACTGTGAATAAACACATATTCTGAGTCTTTAATAATTACATTTCATATTTACTTGAAATAATTTTTATTAAGAATAAATTAAATATAAAAATATTTGTTATTTTACTTTACTGATGAAAAGACAATTTTTATTTTTCAAATGCAAATGATGTGTGTATTAGGTCTGACCTCAACATTAGGCAGTGGACTACCATTGGGTAAAGAAGGACCGTTAGTATTGAATAGATTATTGATTAGGATTTTATTGTAAATACTAATGTATTTGTCTAAACGGTGTGCACCGATAGGTTCGTTCACGTGGCCTCAATAGTGGCCACTTTGTTATCCAAACTCATCACTTCATTCAAAGGCATTTATGAGAACGAGTCGAGAACTGGAGAGATGTTAGCGGCCGCCTGTGCTGTCGGTGCGATTGCATACATATTGTTATCTCAATTATCAAAACTAATAAATGTATTATAATTGGTATTGTGTGTGAGAAGGGGTCGCATCCACTTTCTACGCCCCCATCGGTGGTGTCTTATTCTCAATAGAAGTCACGTCAGTATTCTTCGCCGTCCGGAACTATTGGCGCGGATTCTTTGCCGCCTGTTGTGGAGCAACCGTTTGGAGACTACTCGAGGTTTGGTTTAAAAATGAAGGTTAGTTTAGCTATGATTCTGGGTATTAAACAAATTCACATAATTCTTGCATTCAATTAAATGGGAAATAAATTAAACCAATTTATCAATTTGTTTGACAGAAGCGATAACAGCGTTATTCAAGACCAACTTCAGAGCGGACTTCCCTTTCGATCCTCAGGAACTGTTTGTGTTCTCACTAATAGGTGTTGCCTGTGGTTTCGGTGGCGCCGGTTATGTCACGTTTCACCGCAAAATTGTCAACTTTTTTCGGACACATAAAAAATTGAGTGCATTTTTGCAGAAAAAGTAT